CTGGTCAGAAGACTAAGTGTTGTGGAAACTTTAATTCGCATTCCATCGCAAAATCACATATAGAGTTAAAAGTCATTTTTTTCATTCATTCACATACTGTATAATTCAATATATACAATTAATAATGAATGAAGCTAAACAGCAAACTTAAGCTTTCATTTTCACAAATAAATCAATCAAAAACAAGACTAAATATTATGAAATGAGACTTCACACCAAACAGAGGACAGCAGTTTCTTGACTTTTATTAAGTCTTTGTGTTTTGAACTCCAAGTAAAATCTTTACATGCAAAGTTCAGACATACAGTAAACACTTCCCTGCTGTGCAAGTCCATGCACTATATATTTATTTATTTATGTATATATATACACATTTGCATCATTTAATGAAAGAACAAATTTATAGCAGTAAACATTCACAAAGTAAACTGGCTAATATGGTCTTAAAATATTCGACTGGTGTGCTGTATTATGTGACAGATATCATTGATACAATCAAAGCTCTTTATGTGAAGACGGTGTCATGAAAAATATCAATGCAACAAGAGAACATTCCTCATTTTGATTTAGGCGTCTTATCTGACCAAACAAGCATTTATTCTGGTGTAAATAGACAAGTAACAAACATTCAAACATAGACGTCTTGGCTAAAATAAGGTCATATAGACATCTTGCAATAGTCTAAAGCAGGGGTTCTCAACTGGTTTGGCCACGGGACCCACATTTTTACATGCTCATCAAGCCGTGACCCAAATTTTGAGAAACTATAATACAGTTTTAGGAATTATACTTAATTTGTATTTATTTGTTAACATAAACAAGTAGTGACAGATACATCCTAAGAAATTTACCAAGACTTACAAATAAACAATATTTTTTAGCTGTCATTTAACAAAATGGATCAAATTATAGAAATATTACTAAGTAAAAATGACAAATACTGTTAATAATAAACTGTTAATAAAACATGTTTTCTGGTTTCTAAATGTTGTTTTATTTAGAAGGTTTCATGCTCTTTTTTTGAGACCACCTCACTTCATATGACACTGAGGCTTTAAGTCTTTTTTGTCGTCAATATATGTAAATCCATACTTTACATATTTGGGGTTGCACTTGGGCTTTGACATATTTGTTGCAATAATTAAATGAAATTTCCCATGTCAAACGGTAGGGTTGTCGTGCATGCATTTCAAAAATAAAGTCCGGTATAAGCAAAATAAGTTAAAAAAAATTAATTTTGTTGTTTTTTTTGACCACACACTCCGCGACCCACTGAAAATGTTCCCGCGACCCACCAGTTGAGAAACACTGCTCTAAAACAATCTAGTCATCAAATAGACAGAAATGAATGACTGTATGTGTCTAATCTGTCTATTTTTGGACTATTGTTACACTGAAAAACAGTGTTTACTTTAACTGCGTAAACCTGTTGCTTTTAAAATTATTGGTTGACTTTACTGTAAAAAGTGAGCGTTTATTCACTTTTTAAATAAAGTTATCTTGTGCATTTTAAGACAACATGTTTACTCACTTTTTGTAATTCAATTAAATAATAAATTTTTACAGTGTAGAAATTCATTAGATTTTCACTGACATCCCAAATTTTCCTAGCTAGACATCTATGTTTAGATGTCCATTAGACGTCTTTTAAACACAAAATTGCTTGGTGGCTAAATGCTTAAAGAGGTCATGCATAACTTTTTCATGAGGTGGAATTTTATACACTGCCAACAAAAAAATCTACAATATTTTGTCTTGTTTAAAGCACAAATATCAAAAATTAAATGTCGATTTTTCATGTCATGACCCCTTTAATGTTTCAGAGACATCAAACAACAGGCATCCACACCTCCAGGTTCTTTACATGAGCAGTTTTTAATGTCTGATATGAGCAGTGATGTGGTTATACTGTAATAATGATCTGTTTTACACTGCAAAAATGCTTTATTAGAGGTTTTGTCTTGTTTCTAGTAGGACTGCACATAATATCGTTTCAGCATCGATATCACAATATCATGCACAATTGTCACATCGCAGGATTTGCAATGTCAAGTTCAGCTTATTCAGTTTATTCATGCCTCAGGAAATATGAGTGTAATTATGGCTCACAAGTTACCATTTTGATGAGTGATTGTGAAGTTTAACCTTAATAATAGAGTGACAGATTACTTGTTTGATTTGTTTACAAGAAATTATAACAATGAAAATGTATTGCATTTAACTTTTATACAATGAACCCTGTGTTGGAAGGGGATCCGCTGTGTAAAAACATGTGCTGGATAAGTTGGTGGTTCATTCCGCTGTGGCAGCCCCAGATTAATAAAGGGACTGAGCCAAAAAGAAAATGAATACAATGAAGACTATGCAGCTTTATTTGCTTGCATTTGATTATTCCGCCTATACTTGAATACTCACCAAACAAATACAATGACATTTATGACGATAAATGTTCTGTTAAAACGATGAGTTCTTTCCAAATTTAGCTATTCAAGTCAACTAGTGAAATATTTATATTACAATAATTATTGCAGGTAAACAAAATATCACAATGTCAGATTTTTCCAATATCGTGCAGCCCTAGTTTCTAGTACAGATATCTAAAAACAAAATTAAATCAAAGCCTTTTCTAGACCAGTGTACAAAATCGTCTTCTTGTCAGAAGTAAGTCAAAATTAAAACAAGCAAAATATTCTGCCAATGGGGTACGAAAAAATAATATATTTTCAAAGCAAAAACAAGATTATTTTTTACCGCACTGGCACATTATTTTGCTGGTTTTAAGATAAATCTCACTTAATTTTTTCATATTATATTCTTAAAACAAGACAATTTGTTTTGCTTGTCTAGAAAAAAACGCCTTGACTTAAGAATTTGGACTAGAAACAAGACAAAAATCTAAGAAAGAAAAGCATTTTTGTAGTGTAGAAGCTGTTTAAGTCACTTTCATGTAATGTAAGTTAAAATGACGTATACGATTAATTTGATTCAACTTAACATTTTAAGGCAACCATGTCATTTTTTTGTGTATTGGGCATTAATATTTGAGTCCAAGATCAGTGATTTATAGTATTATATAGTATAGTAGTAATAGTGTAATGCAAAAATCCTGAGTTTGCAATGTTCGATCAAAAACATGTTATTTTAAAACTGAAATTCAACTCATAATGCTGTAGATAATCCTGTATAACCCAGAAGTGTCGACAACAAAACAGTGTTTGTTCGTAAACAGTAATTTCAGATATGCACTCAAAAAATATTGTCCGCTTTTGTTTCAAACTACTTATTTAAAATAAGCTGGAACCATCAGTTCTTGAGGGTTGATTATTACAACTTAATTGTTTTAAATTCAATTTACTTAGGTTTGTAAAAACTAATAGGTTAAAGCAGCGGTGCTCAATCCTGTTCCTGAAGATCGACCTTCCTGCAAAGTTCAGCTCCAACCCTGATCAAGCACACCTGAACCAATTAACTAGGACCTGAACAGCATAATTACAGGCAGGTGTGTTTGATATGGGTTGCAACTGAAATCTGCAGGAAGGTCGAGGATCTCCAGGAACAGGGTTGGTCACGCCTGGGATTAAGGTATAATTTACTCACCCTTTACTTCTAACAAGTTCTGTTGAACACAACAGAAGATATCTTGAAAAATGTTGTAAACCTGTAACCATTGACTTCCATAGTATTTGTTTATCTTACTATGGACGTCAATGATTACAACTTCATTTAAAAGATTTAATTTTGTGTTTAACAGAATAAAGAAGCTAATGTTTGTAACCACGTGAGGGCGAGTAAACAGTGAGTAAATTGTTTAATTTTAAGTGAATCTTTTTAACTTAATTCCTTCATGTTGTCCTAACACAAATCGATTACATGGAACCCAGTATTTTTTATTTACTGTGTAGGAAATGCATTAAAAAAAGAGATTTGAATTCACTTTGATCAAAGACTCTCATGCATAAGAGCTGGACATAAAAACAGCAAAAAATATAAACGTTGAGGTCATTCCTTTGTAAATGTGCTTCCCTTGAAATGTTCCCATGTGATTAAACTGCAGGGTGAGTAATTCAAGTGATCTCGGCTTGCTTCACAGCCATTAGATTATTTTTAGCTTCGTCTTTTATGATGTAATTTCATTTGTCCATTGAAGCCCATGTTAATGGTTCTCTTCACACAAGGCAATTGTGTTATCTGCGCATTATAGACCCCTAATAAGATGCACGCTTGAAGGGGTTTTTGCAGGATAGTGTGCTCACATAGAAATGTTGTTGTAAACCTGACATACAGTACCAAGCAATGTGTTACAAAACGGTGTTCATTATAAGACTAACTAAGCTAAGTCTGAATGTATTCTTGTCAAACAGTCACATAAAAGTATTCATACTGTTCTGGTTTAGACTATTAGGGTAGGTTGAACCAATAAGGATTACAAGTTGAGTAAATCACGGTATATTTAATAATTCTGTTGCACCAAACTACTTTTTGTTAAAGATAGATAGATAGATAGATAGATAGATAGATAGATAGATAGATAGATAGATAGATAGATAGATAGATAGATAGATAGATAGATAGATAGATAGATAGATAGATAGATAGATAGATAGATAGAAGTTGGGGTTCAGTCGTAAGAAAATGTACGATTTTAAAAAGGAGGCGTGGCACCTAACCCCACCCCTAAACCCAACTGTCATTGGGAGATACACAGATCGTACTAAAATGTACGAATTAGATCGTACAAATTTTTACGAATTAGCCACTGAATGAAAAAGTTACGAATTGCCGTGAGATTGTGTTAGATAGATAGATAGATAGATAGATAGATAGATAGATAGATAGATAGATAGATAGATAGATAGATAGATAGATAGATAGATAGATAGATAGATATTTAGATAGATAGATAGATAGATAGATAGATAGATAGATAGATAGATAGATAGATAGATAGATAGATAGATAGATAGATAGATAGATAGATAGATAGATAGATAGATAGATAGATAGATAGATAGATTCTCTATTAAATTTTAGGTTTATATTTAACCTTCTACAGCACCTTTTTAAGCCCTATTTTAAGTGCATGCTTTCTTAAAGGATTGCAACCAAGTATAATGGCAAAAAAATCTCAAAGGAGATACATTTTATTATTTTTATTTTGCATGATTAGAAATTCAGATTTTTAAATCTTGCCATAGGGCAACTTTTAAGGTTGTTTTTGCTGACATTGTGTTCATTGATTTCCAATTGGTGTACAATCTCATAATTAATCGAATCACAATTAGCTAATGGCAAGAGACTGCGATATGAAATCTATATTATTTAACTTCCCCCACCCAGAGCGAATGCGTGACCGCCGTCTGTGTGAGACAGTTCTGCTCAATCGCTCAACCAAACTATGTGGAACGCCCACAATAAAAAACAAACAAACAGAAAAGCGTACTTAAGTGGGATGATAGCGTCTGCTTCTTCAGAGACATTAATAGACAAATATCAAAGAAAAACAGCACGTTGGTAAGAAGGGAATATCTTGCTTTCAAAGTCACCAAACAAAACCAGATAATTTGTCACAGAATTGTTGCCAAAGTATGAGGAAATACAACAACCAGCACCTAAAAAAGCACCAAAGGCGGCTATTTGTGGAGCGTCTAGCTAAAAAATCAACTAAGTATTGCCAGTGACACTCAATCTAGTAGCAAGCAACAGCAAAGTACAAGTTTAGAGTTGTTTGCTAATATAACTTGATATCTTCTCAGTTCCTAACTAACACTCACTGCATTTTAGCAGTAAGAAGCTACGATACAGATTATTGAGCTGAAGCTTGACTACAAAATTAAATCGCAAATCAGATCGAAATCGCAATATCTGTCCAAAAAACAAATCGCAATTAGATATTTTGCCCAAATCGCACAGTCCTAAACACATTACAATTTGAGATTCTCCTTAACTATTTCTGGACAATTAAAGTTCATATTATTGATTTTGTATATTTTAGCTTTGTCTTTTGGGAGTGTATTAATTATTTCTATCTGATTTGATATCACTGTTTTATGGAAGGGAAAAATAAAAAAGGTTATTGCGACTTTTTATCTCAGAATTTCAACTTTATAAGTCAGAATTGTGAGTTCTGAGTTATCTTGCAGTTCTGACTTTACTCACAATTTTTAATGTATATCTTAAGTTTAAATCATGCAATTCTGAGATTAAAAGAAGTTGCAATAACCTGTTTTTATTCAATGGCAGAAACAAGCTTCCATATTATTTTACATTATTGCAACAACAACAACAACAAATTCTGTGGTGGATGTACAAAAAATTAGATTTTCATCAAGTCCCTTCAAGCAGTAGAGTGTGCAGTAGAGAATTAAAAATGTAAAATTCTTTTCTCTGATATGTTAAATGTTCAAATTTTAATTCACAGCTTGAACAAAAACAAAAAAAGTGTTAACAAATCTTCAAATCTCTCTTAAATTAGTTTAATGTAATGCTTAATGGTGCAACCCACCCTTGAACATTCTTTGGATTTAGTCTCATCTGTGCTGTGTAAACATTCCTACATGTTGTTTTGCCTATATTTGTTTGCAAAAACTATGAAAATCGGATCTCAGAGGTGTTTAAGTAAGCTGCTAAATGTCTTTGTGTAAAAGAAATCATTTTACCTGACATTCTATATGGCATGTAAACATTCTTAGACTGGTAAAAATAAGGGCTTTGATATTCTGTATCCGCCTCTTTTTCTTTTCTTCATTAATATTTTCTATGATGCTTTTTAATAAGAGAGACATGATAGTAACGCATTCCCACAACAAGTTAACTATTTGGAGTTTTTACAATTATTCTTAACCTATAATTCAAAACAAAACACAATGCTACCGGGTAAAGATAAAGAGAACGTGACGTGACATAATTGTGCAGTTCTTTTACACTTCAATCCTAACCTATAGTCATTTCGTGTAGATCACAGTGAACAGAAGAGCTCCAGACATCACATTTTGTTCCTTGAAAGCATATCATGTGTCAGCCGGACAATAACAAGATCGGTACAGACCGAGATATGCAGTTAGTTGAGGCGAATGTAGTTGGCAGATGGGCCGAGTACAACTTAAGGACGTGAAACTGTCGAAGGCATGCAGGACGCTTTAAGAGCTTAATCACTGGAGACGTGGTTCTCGTTCAGAAGAGTATGCCAACGCTCGATCTTCTTGTCTTTATTCTTTAGGCATTCGTACCAGTGCTTCAAACGCTCACCTTTGGCAGTGATTCCCAACTGGCAGCCTCCTGATAATGAAATATACATAAAGTGGTATTGAAACATTTGGTGACATTTTCATTTAAGGCAGAGGTGTCCACACTCGGTCCTTGAGGGCCAGTGTCCAGGAGAGTTTGGCTGTTTCTCAATTCCAAGAACGCAGAGAACGGACTTCTGGAGAGCGGTCTTGCCAGGTGTCCTCGGAAGAACGAACTCAGGAGACTGCGAGGGCAGAGAACGCGTCCTTTGAGAATTGGGATGCTGCGTTCTTCCTGATGGTCATGTGACCTTCACGCGTTTTAAATGGAAATTATTTAAACATTACAGCACTCGTACAACGATTTATTGTTTTTTCCCCTCTTCAAAATAAATACTTTGCATAAAAGCATTATAAATATACTCTGCACAATATAAATAAAACAGATTTTAATATGAATTTCAGCAAACAAACACCCTTAATGTGTTTATTCCTTTATTAAGATGTTCATGTTAATGTTGACTTTCACCGTTTCCTTTACGGAAACTCCTGAGGTAAATAAGTCATATCTCTGAACTTTAATAATAGATCTAAATAAAATGCTGCGCTTCCCACCTCCAGCCGCAATGACTTCTGGGACTTCCAGAGCGAGTTCGGTGCTCAAGTCTGCATCAGTGCATCCTCGATATCAAGATCACATCCGGGAAGTTTCACGCGTCCTCCGTACTTGCCATAGATATGTACACTAGATGTCGCCTGGCCTATAGTTGTCTATTGGACGGAATGCGTCAATAGCGCCGCCATCTTGCTACAGGGTAGCGCTCCTTTGAAATGAATGCGGGACCAAGGTACAGTGGAGGGCTGTGGCCATCCAAAGCCAGAGATATACACATATACACATATATATCTATGATCGGGATTTTTCCTGGATGTTAGTGTGTAATTTTTTTTTCTAATTACGAAATTTATAATTTTACATCATTTTTCTACATTGATGGATCAGTGACCGCACGGGCATTCCTGACAAAAAGCTTGTGTTTGTGTGTACAGAAATGTACTATCCACCCTCCCTGTTAAATTTGATCTATTCATGTCCTGAAACACAGCTCCTCTCCTGCTTTCACTGCTCATACTGACGGAGAGAGCGATTCGTTTGTGAATGAATCCCCCGAACGACTCTTTCGCTAACATTAGCCGACAATAATACAAGTTTCTGGCAGCGCAGCATCTCATTGTCATATTTCTTTTGCATTGTTTGCTGATTTTATTCAACAAAACTAGCATAAGCCGAGTGTTTAGTGCGAGTTGGAGCTGCTTTGCCTTATGGTGAATGCAGTAAGTGACTGTTATCATCAATAACGTTACCTGATTAGCACAAAAGTTCAGAACATACAAAAACAGAAAAAACTTAATCTTACCTATGAAATGTTCTGCCTTTGTGCTTTGTTTTCTTTGTTTGCTCGTTACTACATATGCAGACAGCGCTAAAGTCCCACATCTTCATGTAATAACACTGTCTTGACTAGTGCGGTTGAATGACATTTGTCCTGGGAGCACTGTACCAATGTGGCGGCGCTATTGACGCATGCTCAGGGTCCCTATGCGATATCATGTGTATATATCTATGCGTACTTGCGGTCTTGAATATTTTAACTGAACTTAGGCAGCTGATGATGACGTTGCACAAGGACGCAAGACCGTTGAAGAACGCATATTGAGAAACAGCCTTTAGCTCCAACCCTAATTAAAAACACCTGAACCATCTAATCAAGCTCTTGCCAGATAAACCAGAAACTTCCTAACAGGTGTGTTGAAGTTGGAGCTAAACTCAGCAGGACACAGAGTGTGGACACCCCTGATTTAAGGTGACGTAGTTACACATATTCCATGCATTTACTATCGCAGTTACAATGAATTATGCATAATTACACTGTAAAAAATATCTGTAAATGAACAGTTTCTGCATTCTGTACGTGATTCAGTTTATTTACTATTGTGAATTGCATTATTCGCTTGTTAAGTAGTGACGTATGTAATACTGTTTCCGGGTCCAAGCCGCCACAGAAATCATTCGTCTATGATCACTTTTTATTCATATCACACATTAAAGTTAATTCTACATAAAGTTATAGTGTACGCAACAATCTCTGGACTTGCTGCATAACAAATACCAAAATTTTTTAAATGTATAAAAAATGAATCACTTTCTGGCCATCGGATATTAGGCATAGACTTATATTGCGATCGTTATTTTCGAAAGAATTAAATAGCTTTGTAAACGTTTATTATTACCATGAGTCTCCCCATTCAGTTGAATAGAGCGCTTGGACCCGGAAGCCGCTTGGTGTGACGTCACACTTAACAAGCGGATGGGATGTTGATCTCTGCTCTGTTGACTTTTGGTGTTGAAAATCTGACAGTTTAACAGTGACTTTTATTGACATTTTAGTTTGAAATAATATGATGAATTAAAAAAATAATATCTAGAGAAATAAGTCTGTAAATGTTCTGTAAATATCAGAAAATGTGCTGCAGTTCATTACAAGGGCTTTGTGTATATATACAACACCAACACAGACAATATATCACAGTAAACTATTAAAAACGTTAATAAAAGTCTTTTTTCTTTTAATTTTCAATGTTAAAAGTTGCTGGAAGAAAGACAAAGCTCTCATAATGCAACGCAAAAGCATAAATAAGTGAGCAAAATAAAAACATAAACCACAAAAATACGTAAAACTGCTAATTTACGCACATGTTTTACAGTGCAGGGGGGGCCAACCCTGTTCCTGGAGAGCCACCTTCCTGCAGATTTCAGTTGCAACCCATATCAAACACACCTGCCTGTAATTATCACGTGGTTTTCAGGTCCTAATTAATTGGTTCAGGTGTGTTTGATATGGGTAGCAACTGAAATCCGCAGGAAGGTGGCTCTCCAGGAACAGGGTTGGCCACCCCTGGGCTGCGTCCAAAACCGCCTACTACTCAGTAGGTACTGCATTTGAATTTAACTGTACTACTCGGCCGTTAGAAAAGTGCATTCTAAACGTTATGAACATATTACATCAGCCATTTTGTCATGGTCACGCGACCTACCTGCATCATTTGCATCGCTTTACTCCCATTCATGAATTCTCTTGCGGAGCATTATGGGATAGCGCAGCGTGCATGGGATGCGCACTCCAGAATCTCGCCGGAAGTAGTAAGTCATCCGGGTACTTCTCGCATACTGATTTTCGAATTCTATGAATTCGGACATACTACTTGGCTCACATACTGATTTTAGCGTACTATATAGTATGGAAGTGTGCGGTTTCGGACGCAGCCCTGGTTTACGTCATGCAACTAACCCAAAACCAAACTCACATTCTAACTAGGGCCGAGTCGATTATATAATATCTAATCATAATAAAAAAATGTAGAGGATAATAATATCTTGATCATTCTGATCATGATACTATCAAATAATATTGAAGTCAATGGCTACAAGTTTTAAATGACTCTTCTTTGTGTTGAACAGATGAAAAGAAACAAAACTGGTCAATAAATGATGACGTAATTTACATTTTTTGAGCTTTCCTTTTAAAAGACACATTTACCAACATAGGCGGAGAGGCTGGGGAAGGCCAGAGACCACGGAGACAGCATATTAAATAAACCAACATATGACTACCATATATATAAATACTATATTAATACTAATTATTATTGTTATTATATTTTTATAATGATAAAATATGATCAGTAAAACAACTGAAACCAGAATCTTGAATTACAAATATCAGTGCAATATTATTTATTATTCAAATCAATTCCTTTCCAATATTAGTGCTTTGCAGATGTGATACTTGTTTAAGACAGTTCAACAAACACGAAGAATGACACAAAAATGAGTACACTTTCTCCCACAACCCTGCTGAAAGATTAAAAATGGTCTGCTATATTAAAGAAAACTCATGCATATATTGTATTATTCATGCAACTGCATATGCAATAATGTCAGCTGCCAAATAACTGTAAGGTTTTAAAACACCAAGTAAGGGTTTGTGCTGGCATGAGTGGATAGTTAATCTGGCCCTTATTTAAATTATAGAAATTAAAATATATGACAAAACCATCAATTTGAAGCATAGAGATTTGGTAAACATCTTTACATGCTCCACAAAATAAATGTGTATCACATGTGTAAATTGTAATGCATCAAGTCAGATGTTAACACCGAGTGTAAACACACTGATGCAGAAAACTGTGGACATTTTATACTTAAATGTAAATGGACATACCTATATAATCATTGCATTTGCCGATGTCGTAGTCCCATACTGAGATGTCAAGAGTCTTTTTGGCCAGCTCTGCATGCTTGATTTCATAGCTGAATTCCTGCAAAGCAACAGTCACATGGCCAGATATAATCCATGACATGGTAAAATAGATCTAAATATTTCTCTGAATTGAAACAAAACAGGGTGCCACGGTGGCTCAGTGGTTTGCACTGTTGCCTCACAGCAAGAAAGTTACTGGTTCAAGTTCAAGCTGGGCAAGCTGGCATGTTCTCCCCTAGCTGGCTCCGGTTTCCCCCACAGTCCAAACACATGCGCTATAGGGGAATTGAATAAACCAAGTTGGCCGTGGTTTGTGTGAATGAGTGTGTATGGGTGTTTTCCAGTACTGGATTGCAGCTGGAAGAGCATCTGCTGTGTAAAACATTTGCTGGATAAGTTGGGGGTTCATTCCACTGTGGCGACCCTTGGTTAATAAAGCGACTAAGCCGAAGGAAAATGAATGAATGAATGAAACAAAACAGGGTGGCAATGTGGCTCACTGTCGCCTCACAGCAAGAAGGTCTCTGGTTTGAGTCCCGGCTGGGTCAGTTGGCATTTCTGTGTGGAGTTTGCATGTTCTCGTGTTGGCGTGGGTTTCCTCCGGGTGCTCTGGTTTCCCACACAGTCCAAACACATGTGCTGTAAGTGAATTGAATAAGCTAAATCGGCTGTAGTGTGTGTGTGAATGAGTGTGTATGGGTGTTGTGTACTGGATAAGTGTGTGGTTCGTTCCATGGTGGCGACCCCTCATAAAAAAAAGTGATTAAGCCGAAGGAAAATGAATGAATGAATGAATGAATGAAACAAAACAGTATTAAGGATTTGCTTTGCTTCAGTGTTGGACCAGATTACTAAACACAACTATGTTGATAAACATAATTTCATTTCCACCCTGTATTTTCAGTTAGTTTTACCATTTCAAGCATACACATAATTATAGAGCTGTCAGCAGATTAATAGTTTAATCACAGCATATTTTGAAAATGCTGAGATTACAGAATTGTTTTAGTCAAGAAGCATTTGGTTCATTCTTGAGGAACGAAAACAATCAATATGTAATTACATTTTCTTAACAAAACCTTCCACATGAAGACAGAAAAGCCTTAACCCTTTGACATGTTCACTTTAAGTACCTTTTAAGACTCAGTTATTATAGCAATAATTAAACGTTAACAATATGCAGCAAAAATCAAATCGCATCACACTTTCTTTTTCCAGTTTTCAGGCATGTTGAAAGCACTTCTGAAATAATGAACATTACACAAAATTATTAACCTAAACCCTTTTTGTTGATGCTCTTACATTAAACTGCTGTATTGCCTATGCTGTTTTGAGTATTCATCCGTCCATCCTTTATATTTAATGCAAAAATCTGGAATTTTAAACTATATATTTTAATAAAATCCCCAATTGCATATGAAAAGCCACATTAACCTGAGATGAATTATCACAGTTTGATGATCTAGCAATTAAAACTAAAGATTTTAGTAGTTGTTCATTAATAACTGGTTAAACTTGGGTCAAGCCACTTGTATTCATTCGTTAATTTCCCTCCGGCTTAGTCCCTTTATTCATCAGGGGTTGCCACAGTGGAATGAACCGCCAACTTATCCATATGTTTTACACAGTGGATGCCCTTCCAGTTGCAACCCAGTACTGGGAAACATCTATGCACACTCATTCACTCATACACTATGGTCAACTTAGCTTACCCAATTCACCAACAGCACATGTTTGGACGGTTGGGGAAACCGGAGCACCCAGAGGAAACCTACATCAACACCGGGAGAACATGCAAACCCCACGCAGAAATGACAACTGGTCCAACCAGGCCTTGAACCAGCAACCTTCTTACTGTAAGACGACCACTGAGCCACCATGCCGCCGTGTTTAGATTATATTATTGAATTATATCACATGTGTCAACAATAAAAGTGAACATCATACAGTACCTCATTGAACTCCGGGTTGAGTGTCTTCTTCTTTATCTGCGTTTTGTTCTTCGCTTTCTTCCCCATATCTGGTTTCAGACATCTATACACATTTATAGAAATATGCAAAATCACATGTTGATACATTTGATTACAATTAACCTGTAATGTCTCATGCAAATCTTTTAATACATAAAACATTCTGGGAGATGATTGTATTACAGTACAATTACTAATGATGTATATGTAATTGTATACATGATCTATATGTACATATATTCATTTATTGTAAATCTCTATTCATAGCTAATAAAACCTGTATATCAGGGGTGGCCAATCCTGTTCCTGGAGAGCCACCTTCCTGCAGATTTCAGTTGCAACCCATATCAAACACACCTGCCTGTAATTATCACGTGGTGTTCAGGTCCTAATTAATTGGTTCAGGTGTGTTCAATGTGGGTAGCAACTGAATTCTGCAGGAAGGTGGCTCTTCAGGAACAGGGTTGGCCACCCCTGCTGTATATAATGTTGATAGTACATCCATCTGTAAATATCACCATGGTTTTTCTATATCTGCACTTTATAACTTATACCTGTCTCCTGCACTTGCTGCTAATGCACTGTTGGTTAAACCTAAACTGCATGTCGCTGCCTTGTATTTGAACATGTGTAATGTCAATAAAGTTGACTCTAATCTAATGTAATGTAATGATGCATTTTAAAGTTTTAACAAAATGTTTCATAAACCCTGGTTGTCCCCCAAAAGCATCAGCTCAACATACCCTGCTCATAATTTATGGTTGCATTTATTTTGAGCTGATGCAGTTTAAAGTGTCACTATTCTTTTAACTACTGTGTCATATTAATAATAACATCTACTATGTGGTTGGGGTTGCATGTAATTCATTGTAATTATTATAGTAAATGGATCACACTGCAAAAATGTGTTTTTTGTTAAGAGTTTTGTCTTGTTTCTAGTCGAAATATCTAAAAAACTTTCAATTAAACAGCTATTTCTAGTTGAGTAAAAAAAATATTGTCATGTTTTCAGAAATAAAGAGGGAAAATTAAGTGAAAACAAGCTGAATGATGAGCCTATGGGGTAATGTAATGTATCCCATTGGCTGATTATTTTGCTTGTTTTAAGGCAAAAGTCACTTAATTTTGACACATCGTTTCTGAAATCGCCACTTCTTCTACTTGTCTAGAGATCGCCTGTTGATTTAAGAATATTCAGACAATTAAACTAGAAACAAGACAAGTAGAAAACCGGTTTGGAACAAGTGGAGTGTCCGTAGATGATAACAGAAATGTTATTTTTCGACAAACTGTCCCTTTTTAACATGTTGAGTTGGACTCACATTTTAACAAAGGGATCAGAGTAGCCGTTGGCGTCCATTGCTGCCAAGTGAACACAGCGAACAACCCCCACGATCAGCCGTCCGAGCTGAGTGCTGTACATGAGGGATATAAGGATACGACCTCTCTCCTCCAGCTCACTGCCATCCTTCCCAGTCTAGAGAAACACAGAGCAGTGTGGATGATGGGGAACGATAGAGGTCGATGCTAATTTACATACTGAAGAAACAAACCCACCCTCTTTGGAGAAATGTACCCAGAGCTACATTTTGGCAACCGCAAAATATATACCCAGGGCTACGTACAGTCGAAGATTCCACAAATGATGTTTAACAGGGCAAGGATGTTTTCACAGTATTTTCTATAATTTTTCTTCTGGAGAAAGTCTTATTTGCCTTCATTCTAGCCGAAATAATACTAATTAAATTATTTTAAACCATTTTAAGGTTAATATTATTAGCGCCCCTGAGCAAAACTTGTTTTGGATTGTCTTTAGAACAAACCACTGTTATAAAATGAGCTATTTACTCTAATTTTACCCTAATTAACCTAGTTAAGCCTTTAAATGTCTCTAAGCTGTATGCTAGTACTTAAAAAATATCCAGTCAAATATTATGTGCTGTCATGATGGAGAAAATAAATCTGTTATTAGAAATAAGTTATTAAAACTATTATATTTAGAAATGTGTTAAACAAAATGTTATTTTCGTTAAACAGAAATTGGGGAAAAAATATGCAGGATTTTATTAATTCAACTGTATGCTTGCAGTTTTTGTTTTCACCAATCCATTAGAGGGCGCCTTTTACATTTTTGACAATCTCAAATACGTTACTGGGGCACGATTTCTCATACGTGCCATTACTCCTGAATCCACCAGAGGGCGCTGTGCACATTTCCGCGAATCTCAAATTAAAATTTGATTTGTTACATACAGAGTCATAGACAGTATGATATGCAGTGAAACGCTTACTGTACACATCCACTCGTGACCTTAAAATAATAACCACAATAACAAAAATAATAATATTCTAAATTATGAAGAAATAGCAGTTAAGCAATAGAAAATAAAAGTAAATATTTAAAGACATTCGATATAGAGTATGTGCCTGAAGAAAGAAAAAAAAGTATAAGAATATAAAAGAGCTATCTGTATAAACAGAAACATAGACGTGTGCACTATAGATCCATACAATATATGCCCAGGGTGTAGGCAAATGTGCATAAATGTCCAAACCAGGCTCGTTGTAGGTACGTGCCCAGGGCTTAATCTTTGAGAACCAAGAAATATGTACGTCTGCTTGATGTTTTTTTGTTTTCACAAATCCACTAGAGGGCGCCGTGTACATTTTTAACAATATCAAATACGTTACCCGGGCACGTTTTCTCATACGTCTTACATCTTGTTTCTCACATGTTGTCCCAACACAAATCGATTAAGTTAAAGTAATTGTTTTTACGAATTTAAGTGGATTGAACATAAAACAATGAAGTTGTCCCAAAATAAACTAAAGAATTGTGTTGATTCAGCTCATTTTAAATACGTTTGGATAAGCAGCAAAATAATGTTTTGAGTGTAGTGTTTTATTTTATATTAATTCTGTATCTCTGTAAGTATTAGCTTGACCCTGCATGCGAATATAACACATTTCAGCATACCTTCGTCAATCTGAGTGTAAATATTTACCTCATCCTCGTAGAGAGTGATTCCTCGTGCTCCTCCTGCAGTTGAGGATCGTTTCGTCTGTTCAAAATAATACATTGAGTGGATTAAGTGACGGCTATTAATAAACGTGTGTGTGGATTGTGGATGAAACACACACTTACCTGAACAACCCTCTCTAGACATATATTAAAGTTCTTCTTCTGATTGATCTTGAGTTTTTTCAGTGCAACTCTGGTCTCTCCGATGAACTCATTGTGGCCAAACTTATCTTCATCACAGACTGATAATCTGTTATAAAATGGAAATAGTTAAATGAGTTAGTTAGTTAGTTAGTTAGTTAGTTAGTTAGTTAGTTAGTTAGTAGTTTATTTGTATAACAAATTTTTACAATACAGCATTACCAAAGTTCTAAACACAGTCGAAACTAATTAAAATGAGAACTCCCACAACATATAAAGAGCTCAGCTAAGATAAAAAGAAACATTCAGAGGGCTCTAATGCTAAGAAAAGAATTAGCAATTTTAAAAACATGTAAATATAATAAAAATATTCCAACACATAATGTGTTTCACAGTATTTTTTTAAACATATTTTTTATAATTAGCTTATTAAATAGTAGCGTTGAATCATGAGAATCATGCTAACAATATGCTAATTCATGCTAGAATCATGCTAGTAACATGCTAATTCATACTAGAATCATGCTAGTAACATGCTAATTCATACTAGAATCATGCTAGTAACATGCTAATTCATACTAGAATCATGCTAATAATATGCTAATTCATACTAGAATCGTGCTAATAACATGCTAATTCATACTAGAATAATGCTAATAGAATGCCAATTCATACTAGAATCGTGCTAATAACATGCTAATTCATACTAGAATCATGCTAGTGACATGCTAGTTCATGCTAGAATCATGCTAGTGACATGCTAATTCATGCTAAAATCATGCTAGTACCATGCGAATTCATAGAATCATGGTAATGACATGCTAGTTCATGCTAGTAACATGCTAATTCATGCTAGAATCATGCTAGTAACATGCTAATTCATACTAGAATCATGCTAGTAACATGCTAATTCATACTAGAATCATGCTAATAATATGCTAATTCATTCTAGAATCGTGCTAATAACATGCTAATTCATACTAGAATCATGCTAGTAACATGCTAATTCATACTAGAATAATGCTAATAGAAAGCCAATTCATACTAGAATTGTGCTAATAACATGCTAATTCTTACTAGAATCATGCTAGTTCATGCTAGAATCATGCTAGTGACATGCTAATTCATGCTAGAATCATGCTAGTAACATGCGAATTCATAGAACCATGGTAGTGACATGCTAATTCATGCTAGAATCATGCTAGTGACATGCTAATTCATGCTAGAATTATGCTAATAACATGCTAATTCATGCTAGAATCATGCTAATAACATGCTAATTTGTACTAGAATCATGCTAGTGACATGCTAATTCATGCTAGAATCATGCTAATAACATGCTAATTAAACTGTTAAAACTAAATAAACTATTACCAACAGGCTTTGTCAAGCCAGCCTCAAAGTTTGTCTCGACGAACTTTACTGTCTAGTTGTTAATTAAAACTGTTTAAAAAAGGGCGACGCAGTGGGTAGTGCTGTGGCCTCACAGCAAGAAGGTCCCTGGTTTGAGCGGGTCGCTGTGTTCACGTGGGTTTCCTCCAGGTGCTCTGTATTACCTCGCAAGAAAGTCCACCAACACATGCGCTATAGGTGAATTGGGTAAGCTAAAATTGTGCATAGTGTATGTGTGTGAATGAGTGTGTATGGGTGTTTCCCAGTGATGGGTTGCAGCTGGAAGGGCATCCACTGCGTAAAACATAATATGTGTCATGCCGGCAGCTAGCTCTCTGCAACTCTCACAAGGTCGCCCACTGAAGCTAAGCAGGGCTGTGCCTGGTCAGTACCGGTATGGGAGACCACATGGGAAAGCTAGGTTGCTGCCGGAAGTGCTGTTAGTGAGACCAACAGGGGGCGCTCAACCTGCAGACTGTGTGGGTCCTAATGCCCCGATATAGTAATATACTGCTTAGTGAGCACTGTCTTTTGAATGAGAAGTTGAACCAAGGTCCTGACTCTCTGGTCGTTAAAAATCCAAGGATGTTATTGGGAAAAAAAGAGTAAGGGTTTAACCCCGGCCTCCTGGCCAAACTTGCCCTCTGGCCATCATGGCCTCCTAACCATCCCCATATCATACTTGGCTTCATCTTGTCTGCTCTCAATATGCTCAATGTGCTCATTCATTCTGAGCGCTGTCAAAAATGTAAACCCTGAACTCTTGAACCTGAGGGTTTTGCGCTGCATGTCCTCGTCTGTCAGGCCGTGGTAAACCAGCGTCTCGTTCCAGGTCGGGTTGCGAGTGTTGCGCAGAGTCTTGGTGCGTAATTTAGTCGACTGCATTGACAAAACACATGCTTTGATTAGTCATCATTTGGTTATTTTGTTTACTATTATAGTTATATGTTTTTGCTGTTTGTTTCTTTTTTATCTTAGTTGCATTATATTAAGGATATATTATTTATTATTTATTACATTGAAGTTTTATAAAAATATAAATGTATTACATTATTATTACATTAATAATATATATATATATATCCATTTTTTTTACATTATTAAATACATTGTGCATTTAATGTTTTTTATGTACTTTTTGTGATTTTAGTACATCAAATTAAATGAGGAAAATGTCCTTTGTTGAGATAAACTAGTTGATATATAAAAATAGCTGAGATAAAGTTAACACGTTTAAATATTTATTTTATTACAGATAACTTTTATTTATTTCAACAAAAGTGATTTTAGTTTTGTTTTTTGTTTCATTTGAATATAATAGTCCTATACCTGGCCAATTAACATAATAATAGAAAAGCAATAATGTTGCTATATTAATTTGTTTTATATAAATTTATATTGTATTAATTTATATTATATTATATACATTTATTTTATATTAATTTATATTTTATTATATCAATTAATATTATATTAATTTATAGTACATTATTTTTATTTATATTATATTAATTTATATTATATTATATTAATTTATTTTATATAAATTTATATTATATGAATTTATATTATAGTATATAAATTTATTTTATATGAATTTATATTATATTAATTTATATTTTATTATATTAATTAATATTATATTAATTTATATTATATTATTTTAATTTATATTATATTAATTTATATTGTTAATTTATGTAATGTTAATCTATAGTATATTATATTCATTTTTATCATTTATATTAATTTATATTATATAAATTTATCATATATCATATTAATTTGCATTATATTAATCTATCTTATATTATATTTATTTATAATAATTTATATTATATTTATTTATATTATATTAATTTATATTATATTAATTATATTATATTATATACATCATATTAAATTTTGAATTTGAATAATGCATTATTAAAATAATATTATTTTAATAATAATATTACTTTTTAAAATAGTACATTCACACCTATATTTACTAATACTAAATTTGTACAATAATACACCAAATAATTCAAATAAATAATAAAATATTTATTTAAGATGGTAAAATGCTGCTCTCTCACCTTGCTTGCACCCGGAAGCAGATGAAGCTTAACATACGGATCCGCCAGTCCATTCGAATCCATTGGCTTCAAGCCCTATGAGAAAAATACAATGAAAACAAACACAGCTGTCGTATCACAGGTCAAGCACAGTGCAATATTACTAATGAAACATTTCTTTTAATTAGGCCTGTTTAAGAGCAGGAATGATTATAAACAATCAAACTGTTCATGATTGTTAAATGAGTTCACTTCATCACAATTACAATACAATATAATTAATAAGCCCAGAAAAACAATATTATTAACCAAATTATTGTCTAGCAATATTGTGCAAACACTCAAACAAAACGATTTTGCTGCTTGTTCAAGCTACTTATTTAAAATGGGCTGAAACAACATCATTCTTGGGATTTTTTTAGGGACAGCTCAATTATTTTATGTCCAATCCACTTACATTTCTTAAGTTAACATAATAGATTTGTGTTAGGACAACTGCCTTTTTTACAGTGTAGTATTATATTTATTTTAAATCGCCTACTAGGCTTTGACTCTTAATATGAATATGCGCATATACCTTTGCTTTAATGATGTTGCAGTGGAGGCTGCTGTTCCCCTGGTCGTACAGTAAAGTGAACTCCAGCGATCCAAGAGTTGCTGAAATGGAAGCAGGATATTATATTAGGCACAAGCATTTCATTAGGGATGAATGCATGAGTAGGAAAACCTCATCTCAGATTTATATTTCATTCACGCCATAAAAAAGGTCGATGCCTTTCCCTGTTGCATTTACTTGATTAAAACACACACACACACGCGCAAACTTACAAATGTACATTTTAATGCAATAGTGACATCTAAAGGTGTCGAGAGAAGCTGTTTTGCAAATACAACAGTTAAACTATGGTTAAATATGGTCATTTTTGAGATGCCAGAAGGTCTGTTATAAAGGGAAATACAGTTTACATGCATCTGATAAGGCATTTTTAAGGTGTCAATATATAAATGTATACATGCATATATAAAGAAGTGTGAACAGATAAAGAAATGCATGAATGTTAAACAATATATGTAAATTAAAACTACAATTTACAAAGCAACACAAACCAACAAACACGCATGATATTTATTTTAAAATATATAAAGAAATACAAAAGTGTGTGCATGCATATGCGTGTAAAAACACAAATAAATATATGCAGATCTATAAAATACAACATGCATAAATGTATAAATAATTATGCAAAGTAAATAGAATGCAAAAAAACGAATTTTTTTATTATTTGCATAAATATACAAAGAAATTAAAACAAAATACATGATAAAAAATGTAGACAAAATTACATCTATTCATTTCCCTTCAGCTTAGTCCCTTTATACATCAGGGGTCGCCACAGTGGAATGAACTGCCAACTTATCCAGAACATGTTTTATGCAGCAGATGCAACCCAGTACTGGGAAACACCCATACACACTCAATCTCTCTCACACACTCATACACTACGGCCAATTTAGTTCATCAATTCCCCTATAGCGCATGTGTTTGGACTGTGGGGGAAACCGGAGCACCCGGAGGAAACCCACGCCGACACAGGGAGAACATGCAAACTCCACACAGAAATGCCAACCTCTCATAAATCTCCCCAATTACCCCCCTTGATCTAGACAGTCAGTGTTGCAGTAGTTGTCAGTGTAAATCCGCTTACTGGCTTCATCGGAGTCGTAGCTGTTTGCTTCGTCGTCGTCGTCCACTGACGGAGCGTTCTGATGCTGAGCGACTCGAGGACTGACAGACTTCAGCTCCTCTCTGTCTGCAGATCCACTGCTGAGCGGCGGATACACTCCTCTGTCTGACTCCAGACCAGCTGCTGCACAACACACACATTCAGCACTTATATTAATGTACTTTAATACACAGCTGAAGTCATATTTATTCTCCCTACACACCCTTTGGACCGTGGTTTGTTTTTACCTGTGCTGGAAGAGACCGGTCTGGCCGCGTGGACGTTCACAGTCTTCTTCATCATCACTGGTGTGTTCTGGGGACTCGCAGGATCTCCGTCCTCTGAGAAACTCTGAGTTTGGAGATGGGCTGGTTTGGGAGCCACGGGGGGTTTTGGGGCGATCGGTGGATTCACTGCTGGTTCTGGAGCTTTGACAACATACAGCACACACACATTCATGTAACATGCACACATTCATGAATATACACGGCAGTAAACATTTAGGGGATATTTTAGATATTTAATAGTAGACGTCTGCACCATTTTTTATATAGTAAAATAGAGAATAGATCGTTTGAATCTGAATCAGTCAATCATTTACTGGAAACTCACTCAAAACGGTTCATTTAAATCAGTGAATTATTTACTGGAGACTCACTCTGAATATATCACTTGAATCAGTGAGTTGTTTACAGGAATCTCACTCAGAATGGATCGTTTGAATCAGTGAGCTGTTTACAAGAGACTCATTCTGAAAAGATCATTTGCATTAGTGAATCGCTTACTGGAGACTCACTCTGAATGAATCATTTAAATCAGTGAATTGTTTACTGGAGACTCACTCTGAATATATCACTTGAATCAGTGAGTTGTTTACAGGAATCCCACTCTGAATGGATCATTTTGAATCAGTGAATTGTTTACTGGAGACTCACTCAGAATGGATCGTTTGAATCAGTGAGCTGTTTACAAGAGACTCATTCTGAAAAGATCATTTGCATTAGTGAATCGCTTACTGGAGACTCACTCAGAATGGATTATTTGAATTAGTGAATCGTTTACTGGAGACTCACTAAGAATGGATCATTTAAATCAGTGAATTGTTTACTGGAGACTCACTCTGAATATATCACTTGAATCAGTGAGTTGTTTACAGGAATCTCACTCTGAATGGATCATTTTGAATCAGTGAGTTGTTTACTGGAAACTCACTCAGAATAGATCGTTTGAATCAGTTATTCATTAACTGGATACTCACTCTAAATGAATCATTTGAATCAGTGAGTTGTTTACAGGAAACTCACTCTGAATGGATAATTTGAATCAGTGAGTTGTTTACTGGAGACTCACTCTGAACTGATCATTTGAATCATTAAATTGTTTACAGCAAACTCACTTTAAATGGTTCACTTGAATCTGTGAATTGTTTACAGGAGACTCGCTCTGAATAGATCGTTTGAATCAGTTATTCATTAACTGGATACTCACTCTAAATGAATCATTTGAATCAGTGAGTTGTTTACAGGAAACTCACCCTGAATGAATCATTTGAATCAGTGAGTTGTTTACTGGAGACTCACTCTGAACTGATCATTTGAATCATTAAATTGTTTACAGCAAACTCACTTTAAATGGTTCACTTGAATCTGTGAATTGTTTACAGGAGACTCGCTCTGAATAGATCGTTTGAATCAGTTATTCATTAACTGGATACTCACTTTAAATGAATCATTTGAATCAGTGAGTTGTTTACAGGAAACTCACCCTGAATGAATCATTTGAATCAGTGAGTTGTTTACTGGAGACTCACTCTGAACTGATCATTTGAATCATTAAATTGTTTACAGCAAACTCACTTTAAATGGTTCACTTGAATCTGTGAATTGTTTACAGGAGACTCGCTCTGAATAGATCGTTTGAATCAGTTAATCATTAACTGGATACTCACTCTGAATGAATCATTTGAATTAGTGAGTTGTTTTCATATAATTTGAATCATTAAATTGTTTACTGGAAACTCACTCTTAATGGATCATTTAAATCAGTGAATCTTTTATGGGAGACTCACTCTGAATAGATCATTTGAATCAGTTGAGTTGTTTCATGAAGACTCACTCTGAAAAGATCATTTGAATTAGTGAATCGTTTACTGGAGACTCACTCGGAATGGATCATTTGAATTGGTGAATCGTTTACTGGAGACTCATTTAGAATGGATCATTTGAATCAGTGAGTTGTTTACTAGAAACTCACTCAGAATGGATCGTTTGAATCAGTGAGCTGTTTACAAGAGACTCATTCTGAAAAGATAATTTGAATTAGTGAATCGCTTACTGGAGACTCACTCAGAATGATTTATTTGAATTAGTGAACCATTTACTTGAGACTCACTCAGAATGGATCGTTTGAATCAGTGATTTGTTTACTGGAAACTCACTCTGAACAGATAACTGGAATCAGTGAGTGAATAGAGCTTAGTTTAATCCACAAACTGATGTTCAGTGCAATGTGTGTACAGATTTAACAGGTTAACTAATCAAATTCAGCTTTTTAACAAATGAAACACCACTATCTTCATCTCAGCTCACGACTGCGGTAACACACAGTGTGTGCCCGGTGTTGTTTGTTATAGATTGTGGTAAGTCACCTGTGACCGGTGCTTGAGTTTGCATAGTCACTGGAGGAGCCGCAGGGGTTTGATGAGGACTGCGCTCTTTAGGTTTGGAGATGGGCATGGGTGAAGGTAAAAACTGCTTCGGGAGACCTTTGAAGAACCAGGCTCCAGATCGTTTCCACACCTTTAATGATAAAAATATGCAAGCAAGATTTACAGACAGATACGCTTCAGATCGCTCCCTTATGATACTTGTGATTCCCCCACCTCTCTCTGTTCACTGCAGATCTTGCAGAGCCACACAGATCGCGGCCGAGTGTTCGTCTGCACACCGCACTTGGTGCACATGTTCTGAAGGGAATAACACCATGCAGTTTAATAAAAAGCCAGATGCAGTTCATTAAAACCCCAAAGTGTAATAAATATTGTGGATAAACTGTGTTTTAATTAGGAGATGTCAAATGTCTGCAGCACTAACTATGCATAATCTGCTTTTTTTCATATCGCTGAGTTTATTTATTCATGATTCTGCATTTCTGAGATGCACCAAAACAATCTGCACTATGAAAACATGAAATTGTAGAGTAATTCTGCTCGATTTAACTCCCAAAAATATAATTGTGTGTATGTTTGCTCTGGCATGTTAAATAACATTTTTACTTTATTTTTTTATTTATTGATTTATTAATTTCTTTATTATTAGAATATGCAAAAAGGTACATAAATTGGGATCATACAAATACAAATAAACATCAACAAAAACAACATAAAAAACAAATTAAAAACAGCAATTATGTATTATTCATATTAGCTAAACACTAGACTAGAGCGCCATCTGCTGCTAAAACTACCCTAGAGCACCATCTGCTGTTAGCCTAGACTAGCCTAAAAAAGCCTAGGATGTCGTCTGCTATTAAACACTAGTCTAGAGCGCCATCTGCTGCTAAAATCAAGCCTCGAGCACCATCTGCTGTTTAAACTAGCCTAGAGCGCCATCTGCTGCTAAAATCTAGCCTAGAGCACCATCTGCTGTTAAAAACTAGCCTAGAGCGCCATCTGCTGCTAAAATCTAGCCTAGAGCGCCATCTGCTGTTAAAAACTAGCCTAGAGCGCCATCTGCTGCTAAATCTAGCCTAGAGCGCCATCTGCTGCTAAAATCTAGCCTAGAGCTCCATCTACTGCTAAAATCCGGCCTAGAGCTCCATCTGCTGCTAAAATCTAGCCTAGAGCACCATCTGCTGTTAAAAACTAGCCTAGAGCGCCATCTGCTGCTAAAATCTAGCCTAGAGTGCCATCTGCTGTTAAAAACTAGCCTAGAGTGCCATCTGCTGCTAAAATCTAGCCTAGAGCGCCATCTGCTGTTTAAACTAGTCTGGAGCACCATGTGCTGCTAAAATTTAGCATAGAGCGCCATCTGCTGCTCAATCTAGCCTAGATACCATCTGCTGTTAAACACTAGCCTAGAGCTCTGTGTGCTGCTAAATCTAGCCTAGAGTGCCATCTGCTATTAAAATCTAGCCTAGAGCGCCATCTGCTGCTAAATCTAGCCTAGAGCTCCATCTGCTGTTTAAACTAGTCTAGAGCACCATGTGCTGCTAAAATTTAGCCTAGAGTGCCATCTGCTGCTCAATCTAGCCTAGATCCCATCTGCTGTTAAACACTAGCCTAGAGCTCTGTCTGCTGCTAAATCTAGCCTAGAGTGCCATCTGCTATTAAAATCTAGCCTAGAGCGCTATCTGTTACTAAATCTAGCCTAGAGCGCCATCTGCTGTTTAAATTAGTCTAGAGCACCATCTGCTGCTAAATCTAGCCTAGAGCACCATCTGATATTAAAATCTAGCCTAGAGCGCCATCTGCTGCTAAATCTAGCCTAGAGCGCAATCTGCTGCTATAATCTAGCCTAGAGCGCCATCTGCTGTAAAGTATAATATAATAGAATATTTTATTTAAATGTTCACCATTTTTGATTAATATCTCTTCAGTTAATGCATTTAGGCAAGTCTGAGATGAATGAAGCAGCAAAATTATGGATTTTTAACTGATTTCTTTTTATATCCTCACCTTTTTACAGTCCTCACACACCACCGCTCTGTCACCTGCGCCCCCCAGCTGCTCTCCACACAAAAGGCAGCGTGACACTCCATCACCACAGACTGTCTTTTTCATGTTATCCAGACGATTTACCAGGCGCCTGTTACAAAAAAGGAGTCTGGGTCAAGTGTTCACATGTCAGCGGCATGCAAATGCTACTGTGCAACCTACCCTCTTCTATTATTCAAACTCTCAGTAAACAGAAGCCAAATATGCTGCATATTTTGGATTTTTCTGAACATCCAAATCTTTCAAAATAAATCCAAACTTGACTGCAAACATAATTTCAAATGCACTAAAACAGCCTAGAATGTCGTCTGCTATTAAACACTAGTCTAGAGCGCCATCTGCTGCTAAAATCTAGCCTAGAGCACCATCTGCTGCTAAAATCTAGCCTAATAAGCGCCGTACATAATTTCGTACGCATTATTTAGAATTATTTTCTAATATTTTGCTTTTACAGACTGTTTTGCCCATATTAAGAGTGCTAAAAATTGTGGCGGTGCTAACTGTAATCTTAGATAGATTTTTTTAATCATCAAATATCACGTTTCAAAGTTTCCAAAGGCCGATCACACATGATTAAAACTGAACTGTTGATGAAGGGATCCTCAGAATATGTCTGTGAAGTTTCAGCTCAAAACACCTCACAGATCAGTCATCATAACATGCTTTAAAAACCCATTTTTGGTAATAAAGCAAAAACATGCTGTTTGTCTGTCTCCTTAAATGCAAATAAGCTGCAGCTTCCCGCCTCCTTTCCAAAAGAGGGTGGAGTCTTTACAGCTTGTGCTTTGTTTACTCCCAAAAAAAACCCCAAAAAAACATCAGCTTGAGTTTGAAAGCCTGGGGTCTGTTCTTCGACCTCGCTTAAATGATCTAAGATGATTTGGCAGATCCTGGATCTGTTCATCTTGATAACTGATCTCTCGCTAATTTGGTTCTTCAAAGAAGTTCGCGAATCAGATTAGAATGTCTGGATAAACTGATCTGAGATCGCTGCGTGTGTTGTGAAGGACAGATCTATCGATCCTCGAGATCATGATCAGCAATGCAACGATTGGCTGACGGCACAGCAGCGTAATGACATCATCTGATTAATATTCAATTATCCATGTGAGCAAAATTACATCAAATTAGCAGTAAACGGCTTGTTAAATATGACATGCAATAACCTTCCACATTTGTTATGAGCTGCAGGCTTTACACTTTCATGTGTCAAGAGTATTCATCATGTATTTCAATGCAAATCAGTGTATTTAGTTCTACATTTAGAGAAGATTTTCTTTATTATAGTCGCCGTTTTTTATTTTAATTTTTAATTATACACTATTTGTACTAAAGCGATCTAAAAAGTTCATATCAGTAAGTTTTCTCTGTGCACCATAAGGTGGCAGTCTTTGTACTTTCATTTCGAGGGTGCAGATTGCATACGTTTTATTAATATGTATAACTTTATTTATTTTATTAATAACTGTAACTTTATATATATAGTTACAAAATATGTACCATTTTCCCAAGTGTATATAACTACTACTGTAAGAAAACATCAGAATTCGGTACATACTTCCTGTATTATCTTCGCTTGAACTGAGCCGATCTAATCCTGTTTATATGAATTGAACCTGCTCCCGATCAGGTTTGACCTAGCAGAACTGTTGCTATGACAACAACTCTCAGATCAGCTTTGAAGAACGAAATGATCCTGGATCGTGTCAAATCGTCAACATCCAAATCCAGCTCACTGAGTAATCCACGTACGAAGAACAGACCCCTGGTCAGTTTACACTCCTGATATATATATATATATATATATATATATATATATATATATATATATATATATATATATATATTTAAGGTTTAGAAACAGCAAATAATAAGTTGACTTCTAGTTGATCATTTGGTATCAGAAGTGGCTTATATGAAAGGTAAAGGCCTCTAGATGATGCTTCTTTAAGCACAATAAAATCTGATCATGTCTTGATGTTGACTGATGTGATTAGGACAGTAAGCTCCGACTCTGCTTAGACTAAAGTCTCATCACTGAACAGAAATAATGTCCAGTATAGAATATAAAGTCCTGCTGCAGTGGAGACAGAATGAATATTGTGTCTGACTCCATCATGAGCTTGGAGGACTGCATCCATACATCTCTGACATGACTCACATCACTGATTAATAAAGTCATCTGGAATGGCAAAGAAAGTGTTCCTGCTACTCCCAGAGAAGACTCTTTGAGTTCATCTTCAACGCCTCCTCCTCCATCTTACCCCAGACATGCTCAATAATGTTCATGTCTGGTGACTGAGCTGGCCAATCCTAGAGCAGCTTGACCTTCTTTGTTTTCAGGAGCTTTGATGTGGAGGCTGAAGTATGAGGAGCGCTATCCTGCTGGACAATTGTCCCTCTCCTGTGGTTTGTAATGTAATGGGCAGTACACATGTCTTGATACCTCAGGCTGTTGATGTTGCAGATCTCTCGCACGCCCCCATACTGAATGCAACCCCAAACCATGATGTCTCCTTCACCAAATTTGACTGATTTCAGTGAGAATCGTGGCTCTATGTGGGTTCCAGTAAGTCTTCTGCATGATCCATCAGAAATATTGACCTAAATGATCAACTAGAAGTCAAGATATTATTTGCTGCTCTTACCACTGGGATCGACCACAAGACTATTGTCAGGTAGTGTTCTTGAGTTCATTCAGAAACAGTGTCACTGATAAAGACAAAGACTCTGGAGTGACTTAGTGTTGTGTTACTCTGCAGATCATTTTCATGCTCAAACAGCAACATTACACACTATAAAAATTAAAAGAGGATCTATTAAAACTGAAAGTGAGCCTTTTAATGCACAAGTCGTTACTGTACAATCAATACAAATCAATAATAAGCTCTTTCTTACCCAATCCTCTCCTGCTCCATGGCCTCCATTTTCTCGGCCCGGGCTATAACATTGTTAATAATCTCCTTCTCTTCATCTGTCAGCTCAGCACCGAGACACGGGCCAGACTGCACATGGACACCCTTGGTGCCCATCACAGCGTCTGTCATTGTGAAATCACTGAAAGCTGTGAAGCGAAAATAAACAACAGTCGTCAAGATAATGGACAAGTCAAAACATAAACAACTGATTGCCAACCCAATCTGATTATAGCTGCTAGTCGGCTTTGATTTGGAGATTTTCACCACTAGAGGGCGAGTGTTCACAACAAACAAAGGTGTAGTTTGAGGAGCGCTGCTTTAGCAGACTGAATACATCTTAGGCTTCTGTTATAATGCTGCTGTAACAATAAATACACGCAACATATTAAAGCATCGCTGCTGTTTCCCTGTTTCCAAGAGAGAGAAAAAAAAAGGAAATTAAGGGTGTGTGGCAGAAGCATCGCTAGAACCCATTTACTGGGGCATTTGCCCCAGTAAAAATCCCCAGTGCCCCAGTAAATGCTTTGAGATACGATTTACTTTATATGCAAGTGTATTTATTAAGAGTGGTAATCTCAGAATAAAGAACGCTGGTGAAAGCAGTGTAGTTTAATCAAAAAGCAAACTCGCATACCTCAGTTTTGCAAGTCGACAAATCAAAATTTAAAAGATATGGAGGTGATACAATCCTATTTAGACTAAGCATGGCTCCAGATAGATTTTGGGTCAGGGAGTTATGACTCAATAAACCTAATTCTCGACCATGAGTCAGGTCTAAGACAACACGTCTGATAATTCTATAAAAACAATGTATTCTCTAGAATTGTCTATAGAATTTCATTTTAATTATTTATATATTATTATAATTATTTAATATTCATGCAAAAGATTTCTTAAATTATCTTAGCATCACTCCAGTTGTGTCTTTAGATTGTTTTCCAGTTACATTTAGGATTAATTTCTGTTATTTATTTAGAAAAATAGTTTTAACATAACAGTATATATATATATATATATATATATATATATATATATATATATATATATATATATATATATATATATATATATATACACACACAGTTGAAGACAGAATTATTCGCCCCCTGTTTATTTTTTCCCAATTTCTGTTTATCAGAGAGCAGATTTCTTCAACACATTTCTGATCATAATAGTTTTAATAACTCATCTCTAATAACTGATTTATTTTATCTTTGCCATGATGACAGTAAATAATATTAGACTAGATATTCTTCAAGACACTTCTATACAGCTTAAAGTGACATTTAAAGGCTTAGCTAGGTTAATTAGGGTAACTAGGCAGGTTAGGGTAATTAGACAAGTTATTGTATAATGATGGTTTGTTCTGTAGACTATCAGAAAAAATATATAGCTTAAAGGGGCTAATAATAATGACCTTAAAATTTATAACTGCTTTTATTCTAGCCGAAATAAAACAAATAAGACTTTTTAACATCATGTTTTTTAAACATCATATGGGAAATATTTGGGGAAAAATATAAAATATAAAAAATTCTGAGGGGGGGTGGGGGGGTGATAATTCTGACTTCAATTGTGTGTGTGTGTGTGTGTGTGTGTGTGTGTGTGTGTGTGTATGTATATATAATTTTATTTATTTAATTTAAATTTTTTTTTTTTTTTTTTGGAGAGAGGGCTGTGCCCCAGTAGAGCTTTATGTCTAGCAATTGTGTGTGGCATCATTAGCATAAGCACACAGCACGCACCACGTCTCACCAGTTTGACAGTAAGTTGACTTTTTTTCATTCATTTATTTTCCTTCCGCTTTGTCTCTATTTCAGAGTTTGCCACAGCTGCTTGAACTCATACTAAAAGGAGTTTTTGTCTCAATTAAGTTTTAATTTTCTGTCATGTTTCGTCTGGTGCAAACACCCAAATTCCTCATCACTGCAAATCTCCTCACATAGCATGTTGTTAGGACACGAGGTTACAATATAACCAGCTCACCTAATGTTCACGCTCGTAATATTTATATTATTTGCTAATTAATAACTTCATGTGGAACTCTGAATCTGCCTCTTATTTTGGAGTCTGCAACTGTCCACCGGAGGTCGCATTTCGGTCACGTGTGCATGCTTTAAGAGCCTTCCTGACTGAATGAATTAAATTTTGTTTTCCTAAATGGAAATGTTTTCCACAAAGGCAACCCAGGGTGCTGAAATATAATTGGCTAAACTGGCATTGGGCGGGTTAAATGATTAAAATAAAGACTGTTCCGGCACATAAAGCACATTTTCAGAGCAGAATATCTGACTTCAGCATTGTTTTTTCAGATAAACAACTCACTTAGCATGTTTCTGAAATATCTGCAAACATATTAGGGTATTTTAATGCTTTAGAAGAGACCAAACCTTGCATACGGCACCTTTAAAATGAAGAGACAGTAACATGTAATGATTCCTTGTTTGCATTATGATGGTCTCTGCTCTTGAATTTTTCCATGCTCAGGGAGCGCGCTAATGCGAATATGTTTGAATATGTATGCGGAGTTAAATATTAATAGTGTTGCAACTGTACTCGGCCTGCTCTACTGTACCCGCGTGCAAACATCAGGAACACCACTGGGCAAAAAGTAAAGGAACGAACTGAAGAGCCGGCGTGTTTGTTTCATTTATTGTAAATATATGTATATTAGTAAGATCTCATTTACACTATTTACTGTTGTAGGTGGCACGGTGGCTCAGTGGTTAGCAAGAAGGTCACTGATTTAAGTCCCAGCTGGGTCAGTTGTCATTTCTGTGTGGAGTTTGCATGTTCTCCCTGTGTTGGCGTTGGTTTCCTCTGGGTGCTCTGGTTTCCCCACAGTCCAACCACTTGTGATACCGGTGAATTAATGAACTAAGCTGGCTGTAGTGTATGAGTGTGTGTGGTGAATCAGTGTGTATGGGTGTTTCCCAGTACTGGGTTTCAGTTGGAAGGGCATCCGCTGCGTAAAAAAATATGCTGGAATAATTGGCGGTTCATTCCACAGCAGCAACCCCTGATTTATAAGGCACTAAGCCGAAGAAAAATGAATGAATATTTATATTTTTATCCTTTTGTTATTTGCTTTAAGACAAATTGAAAGCATTTTTTTTCACTCAATCCTACATAAAAATCTATTTTACATAAAAAACACAGTAGTTTGACTTTTTTTGACAGCTTATAACCGCATATCACTGCTTACATTCACGCAATATTCAGTTCACAAATGTCCAGACAGCAGGCGAAGCTGTCCACAGTATTAACTGCAAGTGATAAAATCAGATGTGTGTGTCCAGACATGCACAACCGCCCGATCTGCATGGGTTGCTATGGTAAGGACGTAGGCGTGACCACGTATGTGACGAGGCTGATGCAGGAGAAATCAACACGCATCTCCAAATAAACACTCTCTTTCCTCCGTCAAAGCAGAGAAACTCAGTCTGTTCTGTTGCTTTTCATGCTCTGTGCTGCAGTCACGGCCGGCCGGCTCTGCTGTGCATCAAAGAGCTGCGCTGTTTCCCACATAAGACTGAGTTTAGCACTGCATGAACATTTACAGCACTTCCGTCAGCAGTTTTGAAGTCATCATCGGGTGTCATGTCAATGTTAAGATCTGACTCCTGCGGCCAGAGCTTCTGTAAAAATCTGATTATAATTCAGTGGTTAGCACTGTGGCCTCGCAGCAAGAAAGTCGCTAGTTCGAGTCCCTGCTGGGCCAGCTGGCATTTCTGTGTGGAGTTTGCATGTTCTCCCAGTGTTGGCGTGGGTTTCCTCTAGGTGCTCAGGTTTCCCTTAAAGTCCAAACACATGCGCTATAGATCATTTCGAAGGGTGTAAGCAGAAAGAATGTTCCCAACGCATTTCCTGTTTTACATTTTTAATTTCTACAGCTCCCACGAATCCAAAAAGAGCCACATATTGATAACCTGATGTCAAAACAGCTATCATAACATTATTTATGATTGAATTGCCTCTTGTTTTACAGTTCTGAAATAGTTTGATAACAAGCAGGAAACGTTCACGGGCCAATGACATGACCACATTGACATGGTCTATAGCAGGGATGGGCAAACTTGATCCTCGAGGGCCGGTGTCCCTGCAGAGTTTTGCTCCAACACTAGTCAAAGACACCTGAACATGCCAATCAGTGTCTTCAAGATCACTAGTGCTGTTTCTCAATTCCAAGAGCGCAGAGAACGGACTTGTGTTCTTGTGGAGAACGGTCTTGCCAGGTGTCCTCGGAAGAACGAACTCAGGAGACCGCGAGGGCAGAGAACGCGTCCTTTGAGAAATGAGATGCTGCGTTCTTCCTGATGGTCACATGACCTGCACGTGTTTTAAATGGAAATTATTTAAACATCCCTGCTGAAAAATCCAGCTTAAACCAGCCTGTGTGTGGATGTTTCCCAGAGATGGGTTGCAGCTGGAAGGGCATCCGCTGCGTAAAAACTTGCTGGATAAGTTGGCGGGTCATTCCCCTGTGGCGACCCCGGATTAATAAAGAGACTAAGCCGACAAGAAAATGAATGAATGAATGATAAATGATATTATGAAGATACTGCTGACCAGTGCTGCCTGACTCTGTCCTGCTCTCAGTAATGCAAACGTGTGAATAAATGTGTAAGAAATACACTGATTAACTGTCATTTTAACGTCATTAAGTGATTTTTCGCAATTTTTTTCTTCATCTGAACACATTTCATGCAATATTTACACTCCTCCATAAAATGTCTATGTGCATTTGCGTGTTTATTTGTTTATAACATATAGCGTGGATTATAATATAATAAACAGAGAGATTAACTCTTTGTCGTGGAGCATATTTCTATTAATTAAGCTAGAAAAGTTGTCTGTAACAGGTGCTGACATCACAGACGAGCGCCCCGAGGGCACTGCAGTCCGTTTATAGCCTAATGTTAGCTTTTCAATTCTCACGTTAAACACCCTAAATCTGTTGAAACACGATGGCGGTTGAGTTTCAGCTGGATATTATTGGGTTGCACTTTATTTGCAAAAAAATCTTTACATATATATATATATATATATATATATATATATATATATATATATATATATATATATATATATATATATATATATATATATATATATATATATATATATATGTTCAGAATTAGTCTAA